AACCAGGAGATTGCCATCTCCCTTAAAATAAGTAAACAAATAAATATTTGGTGCTAAACTATCTTTCTAAGTGTTTGGCCGAGCTTCCGCTCAAATTCATGAATGGCATGGCATGAATTCTGTTGTTGTGGCACAAATGGAGACACCTATGTACATATTTAAGGCTCACTCCGAACACCAAATGATTTTATAAGAAGTGTTTTCAAGGCAGAAATATACTCGAAGGTTTGCCATTGCGCGCCGAAGGACGACTGCTATTTTGGGTTATGATCTTACCTGGTATTTAACCATGGTCCTATGGAGTGGAAGTACGCACATGTAATCACTCTGCTACGGCGGCCGCCGTAAGTACATGCTATACATATCGTCGTTTAAAGTACAAAACCGCGTATCAAGAAAATGCAAAACCGCGTAATTGCATAAATTATTTTCTAGATAGTAAAATCACCCATATTTCAAAATGGTTCTCTTTTTTGTAAAGCAAACGTCTTTCTGGCTAGTATATTTCAGGACGTATGGATAAGAATTGAGCCAAGAGCTATTGTGGGCAAATCCAATTTTTGGCAGCAAATGTCAGTTACGCGGTTTTGCAGAATGGAGATACGCGGTTTTGTACTTTAAAAGACGATATGTATGTACACATATTAGATTATTTGTTCTCAAAATGCATGAAAACTATAGTATGCTTGCAAACTATTACACTGAAAATAAAATTAGGTAAAAGTGCTACGAAAAATTTTCGTAGTCTTGGTTTTTGTAGAATGTACGAAACTTTCGTTCATAATACGAACACATTTTTGACAACGAAACAAGATTTTACGAACAAATCGTAAATATAACGAAAGGACTTTCGTAAAGCCTTTTTTCAGTACAATTTACGAAATCTTACGTTTATTTTACGAAACATATTCGTAAATTACTGAAAAAATCTCTGTACGAATAATTTTGTATATTGTACGAAGGCATTCGTAATATTTACGTATGGTTTTAAAATTTACGAAATCTACAATTCTGTATTCGCACAATTTACTTAATACTTTCGTACATAGAACAAATGCAGAAAATTTTATTTGAAATTCGTACAACAGACGAATATTTTCGTACAATGTACTAAATTACCGTCAGTTTAATATTTCATCATATTTTTATGTACCGCGTGTCATTGCGAAACTACTGGTTGGCCACTGTGAGACGTATAATATAATTTTAAAAGTTTTAAGAGGCTTTTTTTGGTGTTAAGTGTCGTAATGTCTTAAAATCTTAAAATTTTTAAACGTATAATAACACCTAATACTTCTTGAGGCGTTTTTTAACATAACCAAAATGTCTTTAAACTAGTAGGAAATATATTATTGGCTCTTATTATACCCAACGAATCTTTCAAATCGCTTTTAACCGTTACTTTATATTAAACAAATTTAAGCCTTTAAGACATTACGACGTCTAACACGAATTGTGAATCCCCTAAATATGCATTAGATGTCCGCTTATGGGAATTTCGTAAAAAATTAAATTAAAATTCAAATAAAATATCTTTGAATATGGACTATGATCTTGTGTATGTACATATACGTATGTACAAGCGCTAGAGTCAACATCTGACCGAAAAAAAGTTACCGCTTGTTAGAGCTTCGCGTCCGCTTATGGGAGATTTTTTTTTTATAACTGGACTTTTTTGAGTGTCCGCGTCCGTTTATCGGAAAGTCTGTGTATGGGAGAGCATGAGAGCTTTCACTGTACATATAGGCATGTAAATGTATGTATGGACATGTCTCATCGCGTATGTGAAAATATTTTCACGCTTTTTCATGAAAATATCAGGCATGTTCTGCAATACACTTCCGAGTGAATTTCAACAAAACTCACTTTAAATCCGTACTTTGGGGTTAGTGATTCACTTTCGGAGTTTTATATTTAGGTTCAGGAATCTGAAAGAAAGTGGAAATAAAACTCGTAAAGTGAAACACAGAACCCCGAAAGTCGGATTAATGGTGAGTTTTGTTGAATTTCACCCGGAAATGAATTGCAGAACCTGCCTGATAGTGAAACCGTGCAAGTTGTTTACATACACGATCAGGTATGTACGCTTATCTGCTTGCATATATAGTGCTTATCATAACTTAACAACACTCACATATTGGCAAGATTTTATATTTTATTTTATTATTTTTAAACTTTAATGATTATATGCGAAGTATGTTCGGCGATTTTTATATCCAGAAAATGAGCAACATTTAAACAAAAAAAAATGTCAAAAATGAACGGTAAATCCCAGCTACTTTCAAACTTGCACTTTATTATGCTAAAATTGAATCGGTTACAAAACTGCTTACTCCGAATCTTTCTAACAAATCTAATTAAAAAGCTTGACATTGCTACGAAAATTTGTTGATTTTTTTTATATATTGCACAAACATTGGAGCTTGGATTTAGAAGGTTTCTGATAAAGAATTCACTATAATTTTATAAAAAATAGCTATAATCAAAAGATTATAAAGTAAATAGTCAAATCTTGTCAATACATGAGTGTCGTATCCCTGCAAAAAATTGTGCGACTAATCTCTAAAGAGAGTATTCCGAGATTACTCTCAACTCATCTCTCACGGGTACTATTAACGATTTAATGATATGTACGCACTTAGTCAATGAAATTTCATGTGCGGCGTTGGCACACAGAGAGAGTATCCGCCTAACAAAACTGAGCACCCCAGTTCGAATCTCAGCTGGCGCAAATTTTTATTTTTATTTTTTAAAAGTGACTAGTCGCTTTTTATACCCATTCGGGTATAAAGGTGAACAATTAGTCTCTTCATAGGACATGCTCGAACAAAAGCGAACAGTTCATTCCATATAAAGAGATCAAAAGTGGTATTAGTCGCATGCTCCTTTGCGATTGCTCCCGGAGTCATCCCGGATTAGTCCAATTTTTTGCAGGGATAGTTATGATAAGCCCTATACATATACATACATATATATAAATGTGCATACCCTGCAGGAAATGTATCTAACTATAAGCTAACTTTAAGTTGATTAGGAAGGAGCTATAAGTCACTTATCTATATATATAAAAATTAATGCCATTTTTCGTTGTGACTTTATAACTCAAGAACGGGCTCACCTATCCAAACCAAATTTTTAGGCTTTGTTTGGACTATTCAGTAGATGGTTTGTGTTTTGAAATTTTAAGAATCGGATACCAGGGTCTCGAGAAATAGTCCAAAACGTGGACCCGGGTAACCCTAGGATGTGTTTGTACAATATGGGTAGCAAATGGAAGCTGTTGATGATTTCTATAGTATAGAGTATTTTTCATACCGTTCCGTGACTAGGGTCTCGAGATATAGGCCAAAACGTGGACCCGGGTAACCCTAGGATGTGTTTGTACAATATGTGTAGCAAATGGAAGCTGCTGATGATTGCTATAGTATAGAGTATTTTTGATGCCGCTCCGTGACTAGGGTCTCGAGATATCGGCCAAAATGTGGACCCCGATAACTTAAGGATGTGTTTGTACAATATGGGTAGCAAATGGGAGCTGTTGATGATTGCTATAGTATAGAGTATTTTTAATGCCCCTCCGTAACTAGGGTCTCGAGATATAGACCAAAACGTGGACCTGGATAACCCTAGGATGTGTTTGAACCACATGAGTATCCATTGTAAGTTGTTGATAAATGCTAATGAAAAGAGGATTTTTCTTTTCGCTGGGTAACTAAGGACTCCAGATATAGACCAATTGGGAACTCGCCTTCAGGTTAAGAGATTGCATTCTTATGTACTACAACCAGTTAAAATGGTATATTCAATCACATAACAATATAATCTTTTTACCTGAAGGCGAGTTCCCAATTGCAAAATCAGAAACAGAGAATCGGCCGTTGGAATGTATCAAACAACTTTTTTATTGTACTTACCTTTCTACTTCCACTCATTTCGATGTAAGAATAAGCACAAAGTATTTTTATTTGAGAATGGCACATTTTGTTCGTGCTTACATTTTGTGTGAAGAGATATGTGCACGTAGACAAAAATATTAATCAGCATGTTAAAAACAAATCAAAACAAACACCTCATTACTTATTTCCTTCATGGTAAACGTTTCAATAATTTCACCACACATATGTTACATATTTTTTTTATTTAACTCGTACCTACTTGAAAAGCTGAAAAGCGCTCAATGTATGGTGAAATTATTTTTAAAAACACACCAAAAACCCATTTGTTTGGTCAGATTCATCCCACTTAGCCAGCGGATTATACGTTTTCATATTATCATATTAACATACATACATCAATAATAGTTTAATCATTTACTAAACGATTTGTTACCTACTTAGCTACGCTCTTTCGCTCTCAAAATTTATGAACTTTCGTCTTAACTAGCATACTTATTATTCCCACCTACAAACTTACTTGCATTATATTTATATCAACATGTAGGTATGTATGTAGCAGGCAGATCGACAAACAAAGTAGGCTTTGAAAAGACATCGAACTATATTACGGTGCATTTATTTTGCATAGAGAAATACATGAATATTTTGTACCACCTACAAACTTACTTGCATTATATTTATATCAACATGTAGGTATGTATGTAGCTGGCAGATAAACAAAAAAAAGTAGGCTTTGAAAAGACATCGAACTATATTACGGTGCATTTATTTTGCATAGAGAAATACATGAATATTTTGTATAAATAGGTATATAGAGCTTTGACTCTTAGCATTAAGAAAATTCAAATTAGGAGAATATATGACATTGGAGTGTAAACATCGCTGGAGCGTTTTCTTTGGCCCCATACGTTCAGTAGTGTCCGAAATTACCGCGGTGCAAAATTATTAGTTATTATAGTGTTTTTTTTTTTAATAATTATTGAAGTTTGTGTGAATTTGTGAAAAGAAGAAATATAGCGCAAAGCGAATTTCCGAGCAAAAAAAACGGTAAGTTTTGAACTGTTGAAGTGAATTACACGAATGCATGTGTTTCCTTATTTGAAAAAACATATGGTGTACCACTATTAATGTAGGCATTTTTTTAAATTTAATTTATTCTGTTTTAATTGAAAGAAAAATGCCACGACCCACACGAGGAAATATAGGTCGGCGAACGCGTCATGCAAATGCTACGGCATTACAAAGGCGATCACAGACTCCAGATGAACGAGCACAAGCTAATGCATCGCAGCGTGAACGTAATGCACGAAATAGATCTGTTGTACCTGAAATTATGCGTGCTGCTTTTAATTACAACAGTCAGATTAATTACAGTATGTACGGATATATTGGAATAATGGACGCAATATGTCCACATTGTGATGAGCTAAATTTCCAGGTGAAACGCCCGGCATGTGTTGTGCTAATGGCAAAGTGAGATTGCCACCATTAGAAACTCCACCCGAACCATTGTCTTCATTAATTTTTGGGACTTCTGAAAATTCGAAGCACTTTTTGAGTCATATTCAACAATACAATTCGGCATTTCAAATGACTTCTTTTGGTGCTACTAACATTATTAGAGATAATTTTATGCCGACGTTTAAGGTAAATACTTAAACAGGATTGTCCCAATCAATCTGAATCATAAAAGTATTCTATAGTTTTAAAAATTATTATGCAACATATACCTAAAATTGCATACATGTTGCAGATTCAGGGCCAAATTTATCATCAAGCTGGTTCGTTATTGCCATACCCCGACGCTGATTATCAATTTTTGCAAATTTATTTTATTGGTGATGAAAATCGTGAATTGGATCAACGTTGTGCAATTGCTTTGAATACAAGACGAGAAATTAGTTGTGAGCTACAAAGGTTTTTCCATCAGCATAACGCATTAGTTCAATTGTTCAAAATTGCTCTCGATCGTATGCCATCTGATAATCACAAAATCGTAATAAGGGCTGATAGAACACCTTTTGGAGAGCACGAAAGGCGATTCAATGCAGCGACAATTGATGAGGTTGCAATTGTAATTCGTAGTGATCAGTTTCAATCGCGTGATATTATACTTCATCGTAGAAATGAGCAATTGCAACGTGTTTCGGAACTTCATCGTAGTTACGACGCATTACAATACCCAATATTGCATTGGAAAGGTGACGATGGCTACCATATCAATATACCAATGATTGATCCACGAACAGGTAAATAATATTTTCAGTGTGTTCACATTTCATCATTTGTAGAAATTTCTTAAGTCACATTTTCCACTTATTTTCAGGTCTACATGTACAGAAAAAAGTTAGTGCCATGAATTTTTATTCTTATCGATTGATGGTTCGTCCACAAGAACAAAATTATATCTTGAGATGTCGTAAACTATATCATCAGTACATCGTTGATATGTACGCCAAAATAGAAACAAAACGTCTTAATTTTATTCGTTTCAACCAAACAAAATTAAGATCTGAACAATATATTCATTTGCAAGATGCGATAGCGAATGATGCTAATATTAATGACATCGGACGTTTAACTATATCGCCATCTTCGTATATTGGTAGCCCACGGAATATGAACGAATATGCACAAGACGCAATGTGTTATGTACGAAAATACGGTCGACCGGATCTGTTCATTACATTTACATGTAATCCGCAGTGGGATGACATCAAAAACAATTTATTTGCAGGACAGTCGACAACCGATCGTCATGACATTACTGCGCGTGTTTTTCGGCAAAAATGTAAAGCACTTATGGATTTAATTGTGAAATTATATGTATTTGGGGAGGTGCGTTGCCATATGTACTCCATCGAATGGCAGAAAAGGGGATTGCCGCACGCACATATACTAATTTGGCTGGTACATAAAATAACTCCGGATCAAATCGATAACCTTATATCAGCTGAAATTCCTAATCACACTGCTGATCCTGAGTTATTTCAAGTTGTCGTTAAAAACATGATACATGGACCGTGCGGTGAACTAAATGTGAATTCACTATGTATGATTGATGAAGAGTGTTCGAAACAATACCCAAGGCAATTTACTTCAGACACAATAACGGGCAATGACGGATATCCGTTGTATCGACGTAGATCACCTAATGATAATGGCAAAACGGCAACCATTAGAATGCATAACCAGGAAGTTGAAGTTGATAATCGTTGGGTGGTTCCGTATTGTCCATTATTATCGAAAATATTCAACGCTCATATAAATGTGGAATATTGTAATTCTGTCAAATCCATTAAATATATTTGCAAGTATGTAAATAAAGGGAGCGATATGGCTATTTTCGGTGTTGCTGGTGATAATAGAAATGATGAAATTACTCAGTATCAAATGGGTCGCTATATTAGTAGCAATGAAGCTGTCTGGAGGATTATGTCGTTTCCAATGCACGAAAGACATCCTGCGGTTGTTCACTTGGCTGTACATATTGAGAATGGCCAACGTGTTTATTTTAATGTAGCAAATTTATTGGAAAGAGCAGCGCAACCACCAGCAACTACGTTAACAGCGAAACTGATACATTTGCGATAACTTTGTTATATTCTGAAGTGCCTCAGTATTACACATGGAATGTGTCTTCGAAAAAATTTCAAAGACGTAAACAAGGAACAGCAGTTCATGGGCATCCTGGCATTTTCCAAACAGATGCAATTGGCAGAATATATACAGTACATCCAAACAATGTTGAGTGTTTTTATTTGAGATTGTTATTAGTTAACGTGAATGGCCCAAAATCATTTCAAGAATTGAGAACAGTCAACGGTCATTTGTGTGAAACATACCGTGAAGCATGCCAACTTTTGCATTTGTTGGAGGATGATGCACATTGGGATTCAACACTTCATGATGCATCTATTTCGGCTCATCCTCAACAAATACGAATGCTGTTTGCCGTTATATTATCAACATGTATGCCATCAAATCCACTTGAATTATGGAACAAATACAAACATAATATTGCAGAAGATATTTTAATTCGTATGCGTCATCATGCAAGAAATCCTGATTTGTTGATAACTTTGGAAATGTACAACGAAGCTTTGATAATAATTGAAGATATGTGTCTATGGATTGCAAATAAAACATTAGTACAATTGGATATGACCGCACCAAATCGTGACATGCATGATCTGTTTGATCGTGAATTGCAACGTGAGCAGGAATTCAATTCTAATGATTTGCGTTTATTTGTACAATCGAATATAACCAAAATGAATATTCAGCAAAAACATGTATATGACACAATCATGCAAGCCATTTCCAATAATGCAGGTGGGTTATATTTCTTGGATGCACCTGGTGGTACAGGCAAAACGTTCGTTATATCACTGATTTTAGCCACTATTCGATCGGAACAGAAAATTGCATTGGCACTTGCATCTTCGGGAATTGCTGCTACATTATTAGAAGGTGGTCGGACAGCACACTCTGCATTAAAATTGCCATTGAATGTACAGGTGATTGAAACTCCAACTTGCAATATTTCAAGAAATTCTGCTATGGCAAAAGTTCTGCGATTAACGTCAATTATTTTATGGGATGAGTGTACAATGGCGAATAAAAAATTAATAGAAGCATTTAATCGAACAATGCAAGATTTACGTGGTAACCAACAGCTTTTTGGTGGTGCTTTGATATTACTGTCAGGGGATTTTCGACAAACATTGCCTGTCATTCCTCGGTCAACTCCTGCTGATGAAATAAATGCCTGTTTGAAGTCATCAGTTCTTTGGAGATATGTACAAAAATTGACACTGAACATTAATATGCGTATTCACCTACAAAATGATCCAGCTGCCCATGAGTTTTCAAAACAATTGTTACAAATTGGTGATGGCAAAATACAAATCGACAGAACCAACGGATTGATCACTGTACCGAACAATTTTTGTACAATTACGAAATCGATAGATGAATTGATTGAATGTGTTTTTCCAAATATTCTTCAGAATTACAGAAATCATGATTGGTTGAGAGAACGCGCCATTTTAGCACCGAAGAACATTCATATCAATGCCATTAATTTTCAAATTCAAGCAAAACTCCCAGGTGTAGTCACGACATATAAGTCAATTGACAGTGCTATGAATCAAGATGAGGCAATGAATTATCCAACTGAATTTTTAAATTCATTAGAACCGGCTGGTATGCCACCGCATTGCTTGAATCTGAAAGTGGGTTCTTTGATTATATTATTGCGAAATATTAATCCACGAAAACTGTGTAATGGCACCAGATTGGCAGTGAAAAATTTATTGCCAAATTTGATTGAAGCTACGATCTTAACTGGTAAATCAAAAGGAGAAGGTTGTTTAATACCGCGTATCCCTATGATTCCAACTGATATGCCATTTGAATTCAAACGATTACAATATCCTGTGCGTTTACCATTTGCGATGTCCATCAACAAAGCTCAAGGGCAAACACTTAACGTTTGTGGTGTGAATTTGGAGGAATCATGTTTTTCACATGGCCAACTTTATGTCGCCTGTTCCAGAGTCGGTACCCCCAGCCGTTTGTTTATTCATGCTCAAAATGGAAAAACAAAAAATATTGTTTATCCAAATGTTTTGGATTAAGTTTTAAAATAGCTAGCAAATAATTAAATATATTTTTTTTTTTTTATAAATGAGTTTGATTTAATATTTCACTTTATACGTAGCGAAGCACGTACCTGGCCGCTAGTTGTCTGTATAGTTTCTTTGACGAAAGCTAACTATATTTCTATGGCGATTGCCGCGAAATAGTCAAGGGTGTAACTAGCTTGTAACAAACTACTTTGGGCATAAAATATCAATAGGAAAAAAAATATTTTTGTTTTTTTTTTATTTATTTATTTACTTTATTTATTTGATCATATTCCATTTTTGTCCTTTTATTTGTCCTCAGTTCGAAAAAGTATTTGCGAAGTGCAGGATATTTAAATAGAAACGCGTTTAAAGAAAACAATCTCGAGCTTTACTCCTGCATTACTTGTCCACTTGTTTCAAGTTAGCTTTTTGTAGCTAACTACACGTTATATATTTTATAGAAATCCCGCAAAAAAGCTAATTACAAGTAGGTTATTTTTTATTAATTGATAATTTTTTTCTGCAGGGTACATACATATGCATATACATTGAAACATATACAAGCACATATGTACATACATTGAAAGTAAGACAAGCGAAGTCTCTATAGAAAAACACATGGGGCTGCCTTATGTGTGAAAAGTCACACACGAGCAGAGACAACGTAAGTTTTTTTGGGGAGGAGATGAAGGTTGAAAAATATCTTTAGCTGTTGTATATTTAAGTTCCGACGACATCGTTATGACTCATAATTGATCACATTCTGGAATTAAGTGTCCCACCACCTGTCAAGGCATCGAAATTCCGAATATCGCATATGGTACAAATACAGGATATTGAAAGAAATACAGAACATTTGGCGTCCCGTATAAAATAAATAAATTATCTTGCCAGTTGGCGAAAAAGAGAACTGTTCTGTACAATACGGGACGAATGATCATCGTAACTATGCCGCATTTGATATATTTTTGCTTAAATTAGTACACACTCGTATCATTGAATCACAAATCCTGCCCGAAAGACTAATTAATCTCCGTAAAGAATGAGTTGAGTACTAATTAATCTTCAATTATAACCTTATTACTTACTTTAATTGCGGCGGCATAATGGCACCCCATGGCGACTAATCTCGGACCATTCTCTTCAGAGATTAGCCGCACAATTTTTCACAGTACATAAGTACATATTAGAGGTATATGCGGCCGAGCCACGCCGCCGCCGCCGCCGGTTTTTGTCATTCCTCACGCGCCGCCGCAGAGTTACGAAAATATCGGCGCGGCGCGAAAATTTTCATGATGTATGTACCTTGAAATACATCGAACTAAATACTACTCGTTTAAAAACACAATTTTACGAAATGACAATTACTTTTTTGAAGGAGTTTTTTTGTATAATTTGGGCCACTGGACAAGAATATGATCTCCTTTATTTTTCCAAAAAGAGCGTAACTCAGAAAAAACATAGGCAACATATTTTTTGGATCGAATCATTTATTACAGTTAAATTAGGGTCGAATACTGGTAATCTAACGATTTTTTTCCGCAGCAGACAACTCTTTCCAATACTACAATAATACTACTTTTTTACTACAACAACAAGAAAGTTATAACACATCAAAAACTTTAACGCCAATATCTCAGAAAGCCGTTTTAACAGAAGCAGCTTCTGTTCATCTAACTCATTCCATCTAACTCCTCAACAATTAGAGATAAAACAAAGACAAGTTGAGTTTCCTGAGTATTTTTTTTAATATTTTCAACAGACTTTCCATAAAGAGCAAACACTTTTTTTGCTAATTTTTACATTCGTAAGTTATTTTATTTTGGGGTCCCATATACGTATACAAGTACTAGGTGGCTATGTGAAAATTACGTTAGCATTCCTTAGTAGTGGTCAAACCCCAGCAAGATTTTGCTCCCTCGCATCGCAACGTTTTCTACAAAGGGTTAAAGTTCCCCCTTTTTGGGAAAAAATTAGTATTATTTTTCATTACATTCGGTTCTCCTTAGAAAAATTAATATTTTAGTGGAAATTTTAACCATCTATAAGCCATTTTTTTAAACAGTGGGTCAAAAAGACCCGTTCTGGTTCGAGTTGGTGGGTTAAAGTTTTGGAAAAACGTAGACCAAGCTTGTTTTCAATATGTAATCCGCAAAAAATCGTAAGAACTCCGTAATTTAATATAACGGTTGATAAGATTATTGCAGCGACATAAATTATCCCAATAACTTAACTTTTAAAATTTTTTATTATCAATTGATAAAAAATAACGCAGTCGTAGTTAGCTTTTTTGCGGGATTTCTATAAAATATATAACTTGTAGTTAGCTACAAAATGCTAGCTAGAAACTAGTTGACAAGTAATGCAGGATATTGTTTTTCTAACTTTAACGCCAATATAATAAAAGGATGATCAAAATTATATATTATCATTTTGAAGTTATGTCTGACGGAGTTCGAATATGGGACCACCTACAGCAGGATATGAAAACAAATATGAAATGTAATAAAGTAAATAAAAATAAAAAAATAAACATGAATATTTTGTTTTTCCTATTGATATTTTATGTCCAAAAGTAGTCAGTTACAAGTTAGTTACATCAAATGCACCTTTGACTACATCTAATGCAGAGGTAAATCACCCTTGAATATTTCGCGGCCATCGCCTTAGAAATATAGTTAGCTGTCGTCAAAGAAAATATACAGATAATAAGTGACTTTTAGCTCCGTCCTAATCAACTTAAAGTTAGCTTATAGTTAGATACATTTCCTGCAGGGTGTAGAGAACATACATAGCCATGTGTGTGTATGTATATACCTCAGACCTTCTTCTGTTCGCCCATCCATCAGCGCCATGCACACAACATTTTAATTCAAGTAGGAAGTAACGTAATTTAAATTTAAAACTAGTTAAATGAATGAATTAAATAGAATTATAATCTGAATTGGCATGGTGAATGCCTAACGCTGACGTGATGACATGA